CTTCATTCTCCTTTTCCAGATTAGAATCAGGCCTCCACAACTTGGCAGTAAGTAGGGGCCAAAATCAAAATAGGCTGAACGTCTTTGGGCCGCAGATAGGTTTTAATTAACAATTAATAATTAATTAATTTAATTAATAATTAATAATATAAATTAATTAATAATACTAATCAATATTAATTATACATTAATTAATATAAATTAATAATAGTAGAATTAATTAATAAAATTAATGTTAATTAGAATTCATTAATAATAATTAGAATTCATGAATATTTAATAATATTAATTAGAAGCTATGAATATTATTTAATAGTATTAATTAGAATTCATTAATAATAATAATATTAATTAGAATTATTATTATTATTAAAATTCTGAATAGACATCCTGGTCCCAAGAGTTAATTCATCTTTCTCTCTAAAACTCAGCCACGCTTATTGCTATTGCTGCTTGGTGTTCTTTGACTTATTTTAAGTACCGTATGTTTTAAATTCTTTTATCATCGTTTAATTCTATTTTAAGGGGTGGGTGGGTTTGTGGGATTTGATTTGCATTTGTATTGTACTTTTAATGTTGTAAGCCGCCCCGATTGCGTCCGCAGAGGGGTAGGATACTAATAATAATAATAATAATTGTTATTATTGTTATTATTCATTAAATTAATATTAAAAATAATATTAATTAGAATTCATTAATAATAACAGTAATAATAAGAATTCATTAATAGTAATAATGTTAATTAGAATTTATGAATATTATTTAATAATATTAATTAGAGTTCATTAATATTGATAACAATATTAGATTTCATTAATAGTAATATTAATAATAAATTAGAATTCATTAATATTAATAATAGTAACTAGAATTCATTAATATTAATAATAATATTAATTAGGTTTCATAAATATTATTTAATAATATTAATTAGAATTTATGAATATTATGGATACTATTAATATTAATTAGAATTCATGAATATTAATTCCCTGCTCCTCCTCCTCCTCCTCTGCCTGGCCCTTTCCTCAGGAGAAAGCTGAGCAGTAGGGGAGCCTTCCCTGTCTTTCTCCTCTTCTCAGGAGAAGGCCGAGTGCGAGTGACGGAGGAGCTTGAGGGCTGAGCATTTGCCCCTCTTCCTCCTCTGCCATCCAGCCTTCTCAGGGGGAAGCCAGGCAAAGGAGGAGCCTTGCAGGGCAAGTGTTCACCAGTCCTCTTCCTCCATCGCCTGGCCTTCTCCTCAGGACAAGTAATAACAACAATAATCAATATCATCATGGTGGGCGGCGGCGGTGGCTGGACCGGCCTGGGGCCGGTCCAAAGGCATCGGGGGGCCGCATCTGGCCCCCAGGCCTTCGGTTGCCTACCCCTGGATTACATAAACAGATAACATAGACTGGATAGATAGGATAGATCAGGGGTAGGCAACCTTTCCCCTTTAAGGGCCGAGGGACTTCAGCTCCCAGAATCCCTCCCTCTAACTCACAATTTTAAAAATTCAGAGGGCTTTCAGCAATGACGGCAGTGGCCTTTTTGCTTGTAGTCCCCATTTGTTGCCCAGTGCCACTGCTGTGGGTGCAAGTTGCTCTGAAGTCAGGAATGTATGTTTCAGCCTGTATGCCGCCCCGGTTGTATTACATAGAAAGCCGGGATACGAATAAATGTTGTTGTTGTTGTTGTTATTGAAGTCAGAAGAAGGTGCCCAACATTGTCAGCATGGCCTTTGGAAAATGTTGGGAAACTTCAGCGTGTGCAAAACACCGCAGCCAGAATGTTGACTGGGACCACCTAACTTCCTTGTTAAAACAGCTTCACTGGCTACCAGTTTGTTTCCAGGCACAATTCAAAGTGCTGGTTATGACTTATAAAGCCCTACACAGTTTAGGTCTAGATGATTTGAGAGACCGTATCTCCCCATACGAACCAGCTAGAGCCCTAAGATCTTCAGAAGAAGGCTTTCTCTCGGTCCCGCCACCATCACAGGCTCGCCTGGTGCAGACATGAGAGAGCGCCTTCTTGGTGGCTGCTCCTGCCCTCTGGGATGCCCTTCCACGAAAAGCAAGGCTGACCCCCTCCTTGCTTGCC